TTTTAATATACAGCCTATTTTCAGTAGTTTTCAATATGTTGTTACAAAGATTTTCCAGTAATTTGTTTGAACCTATCAATCCAGGATATGTTGTCTTTATTTTTTGCTTCCCTCAACCTTGTCAAATGCAATTATTTTTTGTAATTCATCATCCCCTTGTATTACATGCCCAGAAGCACATGAGGTTTTGCTAACTGATCATTGCCTTATATTAACCATGCATTAGCCCTGGAAACATCATTGCTTGAATTATTCTGATCTTTGATGTCATTTATTGCCTTTGTAATCCTGTCACTTTGTAATCCTGTTTGTCACTTCCTTCCTCTGAGGATTAATTTCCTCTAGCCCAGAGTCGCTGGGAATCTGGTGGCATATCAATTTAATAGATTATTATTATTATTATTAATAGTAGTAGTATTTACTTCTCCAACATAATTCATCTTTGTTCACAAACTCAAACAAAATTATCTACAATATTCAATTGTAAAGTCACTAAGCATGTAGGCGGAGATTACTTTTAACTTTTTAAAGTTGAAGAATCAAGTAACATTGATTTTTCAGCTTCCATTTTTAGTATCCTACAGGTAATCCTCAGTTAATGACGGCAATTAGGACTGGAATGTCTGTTGCTAAGCAACGCTGTCATAAAGCATGACATCCTGTGACCGCACCAGTTAGTGATGGCAGTTCTGGCATTTCTGGTTGCCATTGTTAAACGAATCCTGCAACATTGTTAAGTGTGGTGTCCCATGATTGCCAGTTGCAACTTCCTGCTGACTTCCCCATTAACTTTGCTTGGCAGAAGCTGGCATCAAAGGTCGCAAATGGCATTCATGTGACTGTGGAATGCTGTGACATAATTACGAGCTCAGTGCTGCAATCACATGACCATGGGGAAGCTGCGACAGCAGAAACTTTGAGGACCAGTTCTAAGTACCACTCGTTCAGCCACCATTGTAAGTTTGAATGGTCGCTGAATGAGTGGTTGTTAAGCGAGGACCATCTATAATAAAGTCTTCTAATTGTCTCTACTTTCAACTGTTTCAAAATAGCGTCCCTGGATATCTCAAATTGTTAGTTTTTTTATTCTAGCTGTCATCTCTTGCAAATTTACTTTCAGCCTTATGAGGTAGACTAGATAGGAAACACGACCAGATGTGCTAATTCTACTTTCTTGTAAGGTTACATTAACAGAATCTTGCAAGTCTGAAAGTACTTCTCTCCCACTCCCCCTCCCCTTTACAGCCCCAAAACTAGGGAGGGTCTCTTCTGAGCCTCTTGCCCCACCCACATTCCTGCTGCAGGTTAAGTGGCCTTTTATCTGACTGTTTCCTCAGTTGCATCTTGTTACCTTGTCTCCCAAGGTCATTCCCACATACCATTACACCTACAAATCTTGTAATATAATCATCTGTGCTAAACAGATATGTGGACAATATGCATCCTTGTCTCAGTCATTTCCCTGTTCTGAACAATTTTGTTTCTTCAGATCCAGTTCTTTCTTTAGTTTCTCATTCTTTGTAAAGATTCATTAGAATCAATTTTTTCTGGCACACTCATTGTCTTTAATATATTGCACAATATGGCCTTATATGCACAAAGACCTTATTGTAGTCAATGAAGCAAAGGTAAACCTTATATTTGTTTGGTCACTTCATTATCCATTTTATATTTTACATCCCTCTATCTTTCTTGAAATTAGAACATTTGGCATTTCTTTCTATGGATGACTCTTCAGGAAAATCTTCACAAAAATTGCTCACATGAAAAATTAACACAGTGGTTTGGTCATTTGTGCTTTCTCTTGCTATATATACTCAGAGCTTTTCCATTCTTTAGGCTGTACAGTCTTATTTCATATTTGTTAACATCGAGCTGTTAGGACTAACTCTTCTGCAGCTTTTAAACAGTTCAGTATTATTTCATCTGAATCAGGTACTTTCATACTTGACAACTGGTCTATTGCCTATGAGATCTCACTTTACAATGTAGTGGAGTTTATTCGTAATACAATTTTTCTTTACAAATGTTGTTATTCTGTATTCCCTTTTGCAAACAGTTTCATTATCAACATTCTTTTAATGCTTTCTTTTGACCTCATTTGCCACTATCAGATCTCTTTTATCATAGCATTCACTTCTTAATAAGATCTCTCTTTTTATTTCTCTTGTTATAATCCTCCATTTCTTAGCATATTTGGTTGAGATATTGCTTTCTTTCTTGCCTGACAGTGAAATCTGTATTCGTGCATTGTACATTTTTCTTGTTGCCCAAGGTGTTTATCCTTGGTCTTTTTTTTTTTTTTTTTTTTTTTTTTTTTTTTTGCTGTCTTGGAACTATTTCTGAAAGCTACTTGGATTTTTTTCCTCTCTGAAATCTTGTGGATGAGTTTTTTGCTTCCATTTTCATAATATTTTGCACCTCTTCCCATAGCTCCTCATATTTTCTTTTGTTTAAATTAAGTCTGGTAAATGTGTTTCTTTCACTGATCTTGTTTTCTGACTGTATGTCTTGCAGGTCAAAGCTTCCTGGCACACATGCTCTCTTTAATTTTCTAAGTTTGAGCTATATATTTGACACAACTATCACTACTGCGTAGGCTTGAATGAGTTCTTACTAGTGCCATGGAGCCATTTTGTCCAGCACTCTGGCTGCCATTTTATTCCACAGATCAACCAGGTGTGAGACAGAACTTCCTGCAGAATTTTTGGGACAATCCCCAAATGCCCTTCAGAAACTCTCCAGATCTATTTTACACATGGGGCACACCAATCTAAAGGGTCGGTCACCCTTGCATAGGACCATCCATCTGCCTTTGGAGATGATGCAAAAACTACATGTGGTTAGACTCCTGACAACCCCAGCAGGCCAGAATTATACCTCTTGAAGTTGCTGTATTGCTTACCAGTAAGCTTCTAGGCCCAATTCAGAGTTCTGTTACCATCTTTAAAGCCCTTAACAGCACAACACTGGATTATATCAGACAGTGCCTTGCTAGACTTGAATCTTCTTGTCCAGTCCAAGAGAAGGCCTATGGTAGGTTCCCTCTCTGTGCAAGGTGCATGGAGTATGGACCTGGCAACAGATATTCTCAGTGGTGGCCCCCGCTTTATGGAGCATCCCTCCCAGAGGTATGTATAGCCAGGACCCTGCTGGCATTTTGTAAATAAGTGGAAGCAGTTTTGCTCCAGCATGCATTTGACCATTTAGATTGGATTAATTTAGTTCAAAGGCACTTAAAAATGCTTATCGATGTTTTTTATGATAATATTTTATTTATTTATTTAGGGGTCTTTTTGGCAGTCAGAGTATGTCAGGATTGGGTCAGGTTATAAATATTGATAATAAAGAATAAAATGTAGTTTACAACTCACAATGACTAGATTTATATATTCTACTAAACTGAAACAGAAGACTTGTGCATGGCTTAGTTTCCAGGCATGTAAGCCTACTTCTGTATCTAGACCATTGCCTCATAATAGGTTTCTGTAACTTGATGTTTTTTCTCTGAAGATAAAGTGAATTATTGAGTATTTGTTGTCCATGAATTGATTTGGGTGGGATTTGTGGACAGACTCAGTCTTATAGTAACATGATTAAAGATAATGTTATACATACTATGAACAAATTAGGGAAAGCAGCAGAGCATGCATTTGCAATTCTTTCCAATAATTTAATAATTCTCTTCTGGATCATATGGCTGGGAAGGAGGATAGAAGGGGACTAGAATAGAGGAGTCAGTAATATTCTGAACCACCATCCAACTTCCTGTCCCACAGCTCTCAGCCTTATCCAACCATTTTTAAGCTTGAACTTTCTTTTTCTGGCTTCTTACCCTGCAACAATTTTTGTCCTGTTGTGTTTAGTTTTTAGGAAGTTATTGGATTGATTATCAGACAAATGGACAGAGTTCTGACCTCCTTTTCATAATTTCTTTTCAACATTCCCTTGCATTAGAAATAATAAAGAGGTACATTAAAAACATTCAAAGGAGGAAAAAGAATATCATACATCAGTAAATAGCAGCATAGATGCTAGTTTCCTAATAAGTTATGATGCAATTAAGTGGCAATAGAAAAAAAAATTGTGCCTTTTGTATTGCTGTCAGGATGCTGGCTGACAGTTGAAGGTGAATATAATCTTCTGCAATTCTACCAGATCTATTAATTTCAAGTGGAGTTATAAAGTCAGAGTGCAGAATCTTATAGAAAGGGCAGTGTAAAGGACTGTGAACTAAAGTCTTAGTTTGTTGAATTTCACGTGTGCATATTCACTCAGAAATGGAGATAGTGTTTTTTGTTCCCTTTAGTACTACCAAGGATAGAACATTAATATGAAGTAGAAAGAAAGCTCTGTGGTGATTTAAGCATATCAGGCCAAATAGGTAATTCCTGTTAATCCCCAACCTGCAGAAAAAGTATCTGATCTTTTCGGAGATCTGTGTCAAAAGTGCACTTTTTTTTGTTTCAGCTTTAGCCCAGTCCAGCACCAGGGCTAGCAAAATTATCTCAGAAAAGTGATGCTGACATATGTCTTGGAGCCGGGTCTTCCATAAAAATCAGAGCAGATAAAAAGTCCCTATAAAATTTAGTTTGAGGAATTAAGTCAACAAATACAGGCCCTCACTGGAAGGGAAACCATCCCAGATGCAAGTTGTACAGATTGGTTAAAGATGCAACAAAGGACTTGAAATAAGGCTCTTAAAAATGAATAGGATGTTTCCTATTGGATTTAACTTGATATAGGCTCGCACTGGTGAATCATATAGCATCTGGCAGTTTGTTTTTGTTTTAAAATCTTAGATATATAATCACCTCCATATAAATGGAATTTACACTTCTGTTGGCCCTTTCAAATTAGGTTAGTCTTATACTGTATGTGGATCAGCAATAAATGTTTGGCACTAATGCAGAATAAGAGTCAGCAAGATCATACATTGGTATATTTGCATTGATTCTTTACTAAAATATTTTTGATGATACTGATGTAATGATCTGTGAATGCACCATTAACACATTGTTTTACTTTCTACAGATGATGTGATGCAGACCACGTACTGTGAAATAGATTTGGATAAACAAACAAGAGATGCATTTGTTTATGCTATCAAAAATCACTATTGGTATCAGATGTACATTGATGACTTGCCAATATGGGGTAAGAAATGTATGCCTACAATGTGCAGAACTACAAACCTTTCTGTTGAAAACAACTATATTCATTCCAAGCCATAGTTTAGTAATGGTTTGTTTCATCAACCATATTTGACTGAGTTCACGTAAAAGTGTTAAACCAAACCAAACATCTTATATAGCATGTCTGAACTATATCCCTATATATACATATGTATAGGGTATATTAGGGCAGGAATGTAAAATATGTACTGGCCCAACTTTCTTAAGCCAGTAGATTTTTTACAGCTTGGAAGCATGTCATGAATGCTCAAAGAAAATGGATCTATAGTTTTATATATATACCCAGGTCAAAGAATGGCTGCCATAATGTATGTCCAGTCACAAAAGCCAAATTATTAGAAGGCCAACTGGTAAAGTAGCTCCCCACTACCTTGATTTGGGCTGATTTTAACAAGCATTGTCCTGTTCTAGTTCCCTGTCCATGCTTTATTCAGGACCCTGAATCTAGAAGTCAGTAACCATCCTTAAAATCTTAATTTTCAGTATCTATACATAAATAATTAATCTTGCCATTTTTTTCTTTAGTAAAAAACTTGTAAAGAGCACATTAAAGCCAGATATTTCCAACCCTTGTAGATCAGTTGGTGAATTAGAACGGTTGAAAAAGTAGTTTGGGCACAGTAACAAATCCCTGTGGAGAGATGTGACTGCTCACAAAATGCCTGGTAGATGCCATTTCTCTGGGATATCTGTTTCTGGGACTTTTTCCACTGGTTTTGTTTTTTCTACTTCTTGTTTTTCCCTCTCTCTTTTTATGTAAATTTCCCCACCTGTTTCCTTCCAGGTAGTTTTTCCAAGCTCCTTTACTTTAGTTCTTACCCTTTGGCATTCCATCCACTGGGATTTCTGTTACTATTGTTGATTTTGGTGGCTGTACAGCTTGTAATCAGTCCGTGAAGTCCTGTTCTCCCCCCCACCCTCCAAGGCTGTGTGGAGAATGAAGCTGCTGTTCTTCTGAGCTTCAGTTTAAACTGAAGTTATTCCATCTGCCAAAAAGATGTGTGTGTGTGTGTGAGAGAGAGAGAGAGAGATAATAGGGATGAGTCAGGGATAACCACAAGATATAGTGGGTGCTAGGTGGGCACAAAAGCATCACCAGCTGAAGTCATTTAAGTGTGCAGCAGCTATTGTTTGTTTTAAAAGCTATAGATTTGTGTAATCAGCTGATATATGAATTAATTATAGATTTTCTTAATTTAGAGGAAGCCTGATTTACAACTATATACAATTGCAAGAAAAAATATGTGAACCTTTTGGAATTTCATGGTGTTCTGCATTAATTTGTCATAAAATGTGATCTGA